CTGCTGACAGACTCCTTTGTGTAGATGCTAGTATATCTTAAAGATTATGCTTATCTTTGTTTTTTAAATTCACAAATCACATGTGGCTTGGCAGTGCTAGGTGACATTGTCAGGGCACATAGGATTAGCAGAAGGAGAATCTGAACACAGGTAACATGCATGGAATAGTGGCTCTCACCTTGGCTGTCTCCCAGTGTCCATTGGACAAAATGGATTCCAGCAGATGGAAAAAAAAATAAGTTAGAGAATGTTGAAGACCATGACAGGAGGAACCTGGGAAGAGGTCAAAGAAGGACTGAGTCCCTCTGACTCAAGGACTAGGAAGGCCTCACATAGATTAGGTCTGGTGAGGCCTGGGCAGCTGGCAAAGAATCTGGAGCCTTCCTGCGACATTGTTTTGTTCCCTGTCCCTCAGCGACATCTGAGCTGCAGCTGGGCCTTGTGCACCAGCCAAGACTCATGTCCATAATTCATTCATAAACATTTATTTCTCTCTAAATCAGTGAGTGATGGTGTCCCTTGGTGACAGCGCGGGTGTTCACAGAGCTCTAGCCCTCTTGGCACTGGGAGACTAGCTGTATTGTTGTGATGCCCTGTTTGAGGGTAGCAAGCATGGGGAGCGGTGCCTATTGTCACTTCCCCTGGAGGACAGCCACCCCCTCATGCTCCCTTATCAACGTGGGTCTAGAGCTTAACTTCAGCCATTTGAAGACAGCAAATTTCCCTGGGTGGTTTTTAGGAGCTCTTGAATAGATGATGATGATGATGATGATGATGATGACGATGATGATGAAGACGACGATGATGATGATGACGATGATGATGACGATGATGATGATGATGACGATGATGATGATGACGACGACGATGATGATGACGATGATGATGATGATGATGACGATGATGATGTGGTGATGGTGGTGAAGACAGCAACAATCATAACGACAATGACAGCAATGAAGGTGATGGTGATGACCATCCTTCAAGCAGCTGGTGTTAGTCACACACTTTCTCTGCTCCTGTACAAAGCTAGTGTCATAGAGAAGACAGCCATCATCCTTCATGGCTGTCATCAACATGGGGCAAGCTCAGATGACCTGAATGGTCCTTAAATCACAGAAACAGTCCAGGACAAACAGTTGCATGTATGCTTCCAAGCTGTGGCATTATTGATGATCGCAAACATTACAACTCTGCATTATGTAGCTGGGGGAAATGCAGTCTGTGAGCATTGAATACATAAATGCAGTTTCTCTTAGCATAAGGGTGAGGGGAAATCATTCAATTTTTAGAATTCTTTTCTTCTGCATCCCTCATTCCTTGTTACCTATGTGACCCCTAACCTGGTGTTCCCTGACTATGGCTCCACTCGCTCCAATTTCATGTTGTGCTCTCAGCAGGGATATATAGAGGCCTGGAGAAGTTCAAGCTCATTCTTGGGGAGTGAGAATAGGAAGCCCTAAGCAGATGACCCTAGCCTTTGAGCTGTCCTTGGAGAAGTCAGGCTTGATGTCCCTGGGCTCTATGTAGGCACAGCAATAGGCCCCTTCTGCTGACTGCATTTAAATTTCAGACCCAAATAACAACCCAACTCGAGCTTCCGTTTAAATGTGTTTCAACCAGTTCATCCCTGCAGTGTGGGAGCAGTATTATCTGCACATTAGATACCAAATGATAGCTAACGTGTTGATTGACATTTAACCAGCATCCAGTGTGAAGATGACTCTGTTCTATGGAGTGGGGCCTCACTGGGCTTGCGTAACAATTAATTGGCGTTAACAAGCATAATCGTGTGACTCCAAATAAAATGTGCAGTGAGGCCAGCTGTGACTGGAAAGTGAGGTTTCTTTACATCTAGTTCAGGCTGTCAATCATGTTACATGTCAGGGAAAAGCTTGAGTCTTTAAGACACAGCCCGAGTCTCCTGTAGCCTCCTGCCAAAAGCCTGTGTGCTTGTGACCCAGCCTCTGGGGTTTGACAAGCGCTGCTTCTTGGCTTTGCTGTGTGTCTTTGGGGATGTGCTTTGCAGAGTCCTGCTGTCCTGAGCCAAGGACCAGGGGACATGAAAGATGTTTCACATTCAAGCTTTTGCTTGAGTCAACCACTTCTGCGGTCCATTGTAGATTAGTACAGTGTCCCAGTGGAAGGGTAGATTAGTACAATGTACCAGAGGAAGGGTAGATTAGTACAATGTACCAGTGGAAGGGTAGATGATTAGTACAGCCATGGGAGGAAATGCTATAGCCCTTCAAATTATAAATAAACAAAATGTTATATATATGCACACCAACCTCTAGCAGTTGCGGTACTGGGTATGTATTCAAGGGAATGAAATCACCGTATCAAAAAGATGCCTGTATGTCCATGTTCATTAATATGCTAGCCATAGTGTGGTATCAACCTAAGTGTCCATCAGTGGACTGGATAAAGAAGATCTGGTACATGTACCCAGTGGGATACCACTCTGTCTTCATAATGGATGAAGCCCAGAAGATATCATGTTAGCTAAACAAACAAACAAACAAACAAATCACAGGAAGCAATTGCCACAGGATCACAGTCATATCCAGAGTCTTGAAAAGGGTCTTCACAAAGATGTTGTACTAGGTAGTTTTATTGTCAACGGGGTATCCTCTACCCCGTGCCAGGCCATGGCTCATGGCGCCCAGTAGACACTGTGAGAGTCAATGGAGCAGCGGAGGGCCACTGCATCCTGTCTGCCTCTCTGCAGTTCCCACTTCTCTCCGTTGCTGTCATCTTTTCAATTAGGTAATTCTGCCTTGGCTTAAATTAACTTTCTATCTCTCACCTGACCCAAATCCTTCGGAAACGCTGGAGTTTAACCACTTGTACTGGTCAGTGTTCTCCTAAGACACAACCTTTAGTCACCTGGGAAGAGAGACCCACACCTGAAGCATTGCCTCAATCAGATTAGCCATTGGCCATGTCTGTGAGAGATTGTCTTGACTGATGTGAGAGGGCTCGGCCCACTGGCATGGGAATGGGAGAGAGCAAGATCTCTAGGCAGTTGGATCTGGGCAGCGTAAGACAGCTCGCTCAGCATGGGCCAGGAGCAAGCCAGTCGGCTGCTCTGGTTTTGCCTTCTGCAGTTCCTGCTTGACTTTCTGCCCTGATTTCCCTCAATGACGGGCTGTGGCCTGGAAGTGTAAGCCGAAACCAACCAGCCGTTCCCTCCTCAAGTTGCTTTTGGTCAGAGTGCTTTATCACAGAAACATAAAAGAAGTAGAAAAGAGAACCATGTTTATCTGAGACTGAGATGGGCATGGGAGCATAGGTGTTAGTATCCAGACAGTCACAGACTGCAGGGATTAAGCCCCAGACTTTATTGTATAGGAGGTGACTGATTAATTAGCACATTGCCTTGGGTACTTCAGAGCAGTTAGCGTCCAAAACTTTTCATGATAAATATTAAATGTGGAAGGTGAAGTATGTATTAATTACCCTGCTATGACCATCATACAGTATATATATGCATGGAGGCAACACACTGAGTCCCACAAAGTTGTGAATTTTATAAACCCATCAAAATTATCAAAGGAAAAAAATGTGGGCACTCAGCACCAAGCAGGTCGTGGCCAGGCCGTCCATGCTATGAGACAGGGAGACAGAAGGTGGCCTTGTTGACCTCATCTGGGATGAACATCTGACCCTCACATTTTTTCCACTCTGTGAATGTTCAGCCATGACGCTGGAAGACCTTGAACATGGATTTGGGGGTGCAAATAAGTTGGACCGAGTAGGAAAATCCACAAGTACACACGCTGTGAACCCCAAGTATGGACTTAGCAGATTTCATTAGGCATGGAGTTTTGCATGTGAGTATCCTCCACCTGGTGCCAGGTCATGGCTCACGGCGCCCAGTAGACACTGTGAGAGTCAATGGAGCAGCGGAGGGCCACTGCATCCTGTCTGCCTTTCTGCAGTTCCCACTTCTCTCCATTGCTGTCATCTTTTCAATTAGGTAATTCTGCCTTGGCTTAAATTACTTTCTATCTCTCACCTGACCCAAATCCTTTGGAAACGCTGGAGTTTAACCACTTGTACTGGTCAGTGTTCTCCTAAGACACAACCAAGAAGGAACAAGAAAAGAGCATGCTCACAGGGAGCTTCACTGGGCTGTCATACCTATATCATAGGGACAGCATATTCCGAGGGCTTCATGCTTATGCAAGCCCATCCACATCCATCCATAGGGAGAAGACGTTACATTATGAATCTTTTTAGGATAAATACATGGTGATGGGCAGGCATGGATGCGCTGAGACTATGGGTTCATTCTGGGACCTCTCCCATAATTCCTGCTGTGACTTTACCTGGGGGGTGGGAGCTGGGATGCAGTATGCAGGATGTCTACATCGCCAAACACACATATTTGGGTACTTTATGTATTTGGTCACTTTTTGTATTCTCTCACAGATTAGTTCTTAGAATGCACTTGGTCACAGTGCATACAAGACTTGTGTTCTCTAGAGCACTCTACTTACCTTTTCCTCAAGAAGCTGGTCCACATCTGAGGTCATTCACAGACCACACTGGTGTGAGCTTGCTGGACACTGAATAGCATTTTTCAAGTTCTTGAGAGCCTCGCCTAGTGTCTCAATGTGGGGCTTGCCCTCTCAGCAGATCCTAACCAGTCCTATGGGGGTTGTTTTGGATCTTGGCTAAGTCTAAATGAGGTTCAAGATTTTCTTCTTCATTGTGGCAGTGCCCCATAGCACACCCGCCTTCCAGGATCAAGCCTGGGTGCCCTGGCCTTACACTGAATGTGTGCACAGGTGTATCATCAAGCACAAATTATAGCAGAAGTTTTCTTTTTCTTAAAACTTAATCGTATTGGCAAGTCCTTTCTTTCAGTGGTTCTTGCAAGAATTTTATTCTTCCAGAAATTTCTGTATAGGTCCTTGAGGTTTGGGGGAATGTACTCATTCATATTCTTTCTCTCTTCCTTTGCCTTTTTTTTCTAATCATGGAAAATGCAGCTGTTGAGGATGACAATTGCTAAACAAAGGCTCGGAGATGAAGAAATTGGCATGAGGCATTTTGCAGCCCATGAGCGGGAGGATTTGGTTGAGCAGCTGGAGCGAGCTAAGGAACAGGTGACTGTTGAGCTCTGGTTTGGGTGGGGATGCCTGCATGTGGCCTCACAACAGGAAGCAGGGCACACGTGCTCCCATCACCCCTCAAATCAGGAAGTAGGGCACATATGCTCCCATGGCCCCTCACAACAGGAAGTAGGGCACACATGCTCCCATGACCCCTCACAACAGGAAGCAAGGCAAACATGCTCCCATCACCCCTCAAAGCAGGAAGTAGGGCACATATGCTCCCATGGCCCCTCACAACAGGAAGTAGGGCACACATGCTCCTATGATCCCTCACAACAGGAAGCAGGGCACACATGCTCCCATGACCCCTCACAACAGGAAGCAGGGCATACATGCTCCTGTGGCCCCTCACAACAGGAAGTAGACCTCACAACAGGAAGTAGGACACTTGGTCCTGTATCCAAATCCAAGAGGAGGCCAGGGATGCCGAGAGGTCTTGACTTTCTCAGTTCTTCCTAGGTTCATACTGAGTGTCTGACCCCTAGCAGGGATGTCCAGCACTGATTGTCCATTGTTCTGTGTACATCAAGAAACTTGCCGTCCTCCACCCGCTTAGACAGTGGGGAGGAAATGTGACAAACTGGCCTTTAACTTAGGAGTTTCCACTAAGATGCTGAGCGATGCTTTGTGGGCAGGATTTCAGAGGGTGCAGAGCCCTGTTTGGGAAGCAGCCACAGGGGCAGAGTCTTCCTTTTTTCCTCTCTTGCTCACTGGGCCCAGGACACCTAGGTTGAGTGACTTGGAACTGCATTGTCCTTGTAGGACTCTAGTGTCAGCCTGTCCTTTCCACATCTGTGAATGGGGGCAGTGTGCAGGGATTAGAGATCAGGCTCAGCAATCCCACACATGTTAAGTGTCTGGTTGGAAGGTATCCCCTAGCTCCAAGCCCTTACCCAGTGTGCATTGCAAAGTGGGTTACTCTAGCAGTACCCCTAAGCTCTCCAAGTCAGCTAGTCTAGTGGAAGCCACACCCCCTAACTTGGAAACCCATGGTTGAGAACACTGTGACACTCCTTGGATTTCAGATCGAGTCCTTGGAACATGACCTGCAGGCATCAGTGGATGAACTCCAGGATGTTAAGGAAGAGCGGGCTTCCTACCAGGACAAAGTGGACCGGCTGAACCAGGAGCTCAACCATATCCTGGGTGGTCATGAGAACCGGATCATTGATGTGGATGCTCTGTGCATGGAGAACAGGCAAGTGCTGAGCATCCAGGAGAGGCAGTCTGGGGTGGGGAGGAGCAGCCCTGAAGCCCTGCCTGCAGTTGAGACAGCCGCATTTGGAATAAGAAGCAAGTTCCAGCCCCCAGATATTGGCAATGGCGTGTGCTGGTTATAAAAGGAGTGGGAGACGCCCACTTGTCTAGCCCCCCACCCCCCACCCCCGCGCTTCCCACACCTTCTCTGATTGGGCCACAAGGGTGAAGAGCTAGGAAGAGTTGTTTGTGATTGCTGTCAAGGAGAGGGGAAAGAATAAGAAAATAAATTGAGAAATTCCCTTAGCTGTGTCTTTGCCCCCAGGCACATTTCAGCGTGTGGATGTGTCTGACTCGTGTTATGGCTGGCGTTTTCTCTTCCTGGTTTGCTCCCTGGTGCAATCATCTTAATGAGAATTATGTGAAAAAGAATGTTGCTGTCCCCGAGGGGCTCTCCGAGAGGGCTGTTTTAAAGTGGGGTGTCTGTGATTTGGGCATGTCTGACCTTGATCACATCCCCTGAATAAAAGGTCACATTTTCCGGCCCCTGCCCTCCAGGCTGAGAAGGAAGTCGGTACACGCCAATGACATCTGGGCTCCCTGTTTTGCCCTTATCGTTCAGTGGGCTTCATTTCTCCCCCATGCTCATCCTTGTTATGTGTGGGTTGTTTTTTTTTTTTCCAGATATCTCCAGGAGAGATTGAAGCAACTCCATGAAGAGGTCAGCCTTCTGAAGTCAAACATCGCCAAGTACAAGGTACCGCAATCAAGACCAAGTCTGTGATTCTCCACTCAGCATCCGTGCGTCATCCTATTTCGAGTCTCTTATGTTTCAAAGACATTTCATCGCTTTTCTAGCCTCCCAAATGGAGCTCAGTAAGACCCCTCGCTGGGGTAGCTAGTGTAACCAATCACAAAACAGCGAACTCCCAACACCAGTTTCCCCCAGTATCTGCTTCTACGTCAATAGTCTGGACAGGGCATCCTGAGACCTCCAAAACCTATGTGCTTCCACCTGGGAGCCTCAACTCTGTGAACTTGGGGTCCTCTCCACCTCCTCTATGAAATGTACAGTTGTCAGATGCTATTTGTGTCATAATTATCCCCCAAGAGGATGGTTTCAGTGGAAGAAACAAAGCTATAACATCACAACCCAAACACTAATAATATTCGAGGCACACTGCAAGGGTAGGATGTTTGAATTCACCTCCCTGTCATTTAGTCTAATTCCAGCTCCACTGGTTTGATAATATCTATTTCTGCTGTGTTGGTTGTAAGTGTTATAATTGGAAAACTCTCCTGGGTCTCTCTGCTTTGAAAATAAATTGATGGCTCTTCCTACGGGTGGAGTTTTACAGCCAGCTGCATGCTCGGGAGAGCTGGCTCATTGTCCTGGTTGTTGACATTGGCCTTTGTTCCCAGAGATCACCATGGCTTTCCATTTGGTGGGAGTCACACTTTCATTTATATCGATCTCTATATAAACATGAAGCAAGGAAGTATGTGCTTTTTAGCATATACATTTACAACCATGTGCATCCTTTCATATATCATGTATCTTGTTCATATTCCAAACATGTCTGACTACTATATATCAGTGTGAAGGCAAGAGTCCATTCTAAGACCATAACAGCCTGTATACTTAATCCTATGTCCAAGACAGACATCATGAATTGGCCGTGATCTTTTTCCAAGCCAAGCATCATTGGTGCCACCGTTAGTACATGAAAGCAAATGTCGTCTTCATCTCAAGTCTATTCTAAAATGATTTCCATAACAAGTCTCTCCACATGTTAGCCTGCCTCAGATTCCATTTAAGGAATGTGGATTAAATCCCTTTGAATACAAGGCTACGGTTACCGCCTTTCTCTTTCGCTGTAACTTAAAAACCAAACAGGCTCTCTATACAGAGTCTTTTAAAAGCCCAAGGGCGGAGAGGTCTATGTTTTAGGCTACATTTCAAGTCTGCCAACGTTCTTGTAAGTACATGGGGTGTATCCCCTTAACGAGGTATTTTTCCATTGCTATCTTTTCTGACAAAAGCTTTTGTTTTTTCCGTTGCTGCTGCAGAATGCTCTTGAGAGACGGAAAAACTCCAAGGGTCAAGGCAAGTCCAACAGTAGTGCTCTGACCGGGGTCCTGTCTGCGAAGCAAGGTAGGAGTTAATATCCAGGTTGGATCAATTTCTGAGCAAAGATCTAGAATACATGTTCCACCCAAACCTCGGGGTTTGTGGGGCAGAAAACGGGCACCTGATTGCCACTTGCAGCAGGATTGCCTGAGTCTTTCTAACCCAGATTATGCCCACCCAGGTTTCTGATTTGCTAAGTCTTAGGGGTGGGACCTGAGAATCTTCATCTTCAGGATGCCCAGGTCATGCTTTTGTAGTGGGAGACCCCACTTTGACCATCACCTTGGAGCTTCTCCAGTGACTGGATCCTCTTGAGAATCTTTTCCTTCCCATCACCACCCGACAGCCCCCTAGGCGCCCAGCCCCCTCTAAGCATATTGCTCCTGGCCTCTGCAGACAGAATGGAAAACCCCCCTACTGCATAGATCATTGCACCATGGATCATGGGAACGCATGCCGTTTTCAAAGAAGCTTTTATTGATTGCAGCTTTGTTCTTCCTTCCTGTCGATTCCAATGAAAAATAATGATCTTCCGGAAGCAGTCCAGGGGAATAAATAGCAGGAAGCTTGAGTCTGGTACTTCGTTTTCTGCGGTCGGTTCTTGACTTCAGCCTAGGTTGCACAGGTCGGCTTCTCAGCTGCTGACGGTGCTGACCAGCAGCTACCGTGGCCCAGTCTTTATCGGAACTGGCTTTAAAAAGCTTAGCACCTGCAGTGGGCTTCACACTCAAGGTTCTTTCCCAGGCAACTTCTTTTCCCTACTCCCCTAGAAATGAACATCCTAGAAGTGTTTTTGAATGGGAAGCTGTAACACCCTAGAAGGGAAAGGCCATCTATGCGGCTCAGCAGGGAAAGTGTCTGCTGTGTAAGCAAGAGGACCCGAGTGCAGATCCTCAGCACCCATGTCAAACACTGGCTGTGGCGGTGCACACTGTAACCCTAGCACTGGTGAGGAAGGGGCAAGAGGACCACTGGGGCTTTTTCATCTGCCCTGGTAGCCTAATTGGGGAGCTCCAGGTTCAGTGAGAGACCTTGTTTCAAAAAAAAAATAATAAGATTGTATCAGACAAAGTGCCTTTTATTTCAGTTCTCTGGGGGCAGATGTCTCCAGGAATTTGAGGCCATCCTGGTCTGCATATCAAGTTCTAGGCCAGCTAGGGATGCTCTGTGAGAGCTTGACTCAAAAATAAAAAGGACAAGGAGATTAAAGAAAGCACTGATGTCCGTCTACAGCCTCCACACATGTACACGTGCATAAACACATATGCACACAGAGAGAGACTGAGATAGAGAGAACCCAGTGCATCGTAGGCCTTGGATACCATACCTGGCCACCAGTTTAGAGTAAGGACCCCTGTCCTGACTCTTACGTCGCAAGTGCCAGCCATAGTCAAACACCACAGGCAGAATTATCCCCTGACTCAGGTCTTCTAGGAAAACCTATGAGAGAAGCTGATTGACGTGGTCTATGGCATTAGTAATCTAAGTGTATGAGCGTGGCAACCCATTATGAAAAACCTAAACGACCCCCTAGCAAGAACTAGTGAGAAATAAAGTAGACATATAAGGGCTTTTTGCTATAAGAAATTTCTTCAAACCAGGCGGTGCTGATGCACACCTTTAATCCCAGCACTTGGGAGATAGAGGCAGGCAGATCTCTGTGAGTTCAAGGCCAGCCTGGTCATACATTCTATATTTTAACTGGAAATGACATAAATATCTAGTAGTAGCTAAATGAACTTTCATAAACCTAGATGAACTATTAAAGTGGGGGCTCACCTTTATATTTTGGGGGATACTAATAGGGTGAAATGTTGTTAAATGAAAAAGTAGTATTTTCCCCGTTTCAGAAGAATATTGAATGGATCCGTATACATGCATTCAGTCCCAGGAAATGGTGCTCCAGAGAGCACTGTGCCTTTTCATAGTCAGGAGGGCACCAGGGTGGCTGTCACTTGTGTTTTCTCCCCGTTGATTTACCCCCTTTAAAGTGCCGTATTACTTTTGCCCTGACCAGAGAGCCTGAAGGGCGGGAAGCTCGGTCATTGGCAGGGCAGTACGACCTTTAGCAAGTGTTTTTTAACCCAGCTGAGACTTGCTTTATTGTTAACAAAATGGAAATAAATAACGCTTGCTAGGTTTGGGGTCTTTTTTTCTCAGTGAGTTAGCATAAAATGCCTTCACACGCTGGCAAGTGAAAATGTTGTTAGTCTCTGAACAAGCTGCCAATGGCTGGAGATAAGTGTGGCTCAGTTGGTGTGCGCTTGCGGAGCAGGAGAGCCCTGGGCTCCTCCCCAGTTTGACAAAAAGAAGAGAATTTAAAAGGGGGGGGGTCCAATTCTTTTGAGACTTTTCCACTTAGCTTTCACACTGAGTTTCGTGCTGTGTTCCTTGTGGTCGTTGAGATAGGCTCTCAGGACAACACGGTATCATGTCAAAGCTTGGGGCGCCCCGCTCTCCAGGAAGCACGGACACGGGTCTGCAGCCCCACGTTCCGGAATCCCTGGCTGAGCTGTCCACCTCTGCATCTTCCCTAGTCCAGGATCTGCTCTCTGAAGACCACGGGTGCAGCCTCCCAGCTACTCCGCAATCCATTGCTGACCTGAAGTCTCTGGCCACGGCCCTGCTGGAAACGATCCACGAGAAAAACATGGTCATTCAGCACCAGAGGCAAACCAACAGGTATGCAGTAGGTCCTTAGACTTGGGGGCGGGAGAGTGGGAATGGGGCTCCCAGAAGTAAACCAGGAGCACTCCGGGAAGAAGGTAACCTCCCTGAAACCTAGCGGGGAAAGAACCCATGAAACCAGAGCTAGTCTTCTACTTTGCGTTGGCATCCGGGTTATCCACCAGAGTCAACGAAGCAGGGATCTTGGTTTCTTGGTGAGCTGTGCTTGTGAACGCCAGTTTCATGGTCCCTCCCACAGGACAATGCCAGTTCTCCTGCCTCTTCCTTAGCCCTCCTTTTGAGGCAGGAGCTGCCTCAGTGCCTCTTCAACTCCAGGACTTGAATCTGAGGGTCTCTGATGACCAGGAAAGCAACCATCAACTTGGACGAGCTGCTGTCCCTGTGAGGGAACTTCCTGTCAAAGGAAGAATCAATAAGATGGAGCATCCTGTTTGATTTGTAATGAGTGTTGATTATGTTGTATAAAAACGAGCAAGTTAAGCCTCCTTAAAATAGTGGTCAGGAGCGGCAGCGCTCCGTTGAAAACGTCCTGAGAATGCTCAGTCAAAAGTGAATTAAAGCAAAACTTGTCACATACACCAGTTGGTTTTCTGTTCCTAAAGCTGAGTACCCGAGACTAGGTAGCTTACGAATATTTTTTAAAATGAGGAGTTCACTTCTCATGCCCCAGGAGGCTGAGTTCCAGAGCATGCCACTGTGTCTGGTGGTGGCCTCCATGCCACATCTGAACATGACCCGGGTACATGACATGGTCAGCTATGGTAAGCATGCTTGCCTGGATAGCTTTCTCATAAACCTGCCGATGCTATGTGGGGCCCTCACCCTCCTCCTCATCTCATCCTAACCCTCCTAAGGGCGATTAGCATTGCCCTGTGAGCTTGGAAATTTAGTTTCTAACACGGGAACGCATTTGAATCACAGCAGAGCCAGCCTTGTGGCCTGCAGTCGACGCCAAGAAGGATTTGGCATTTGTCCAGATACTGTTACCACCATCTTGAAATTCATGATACTTATTTTTTCACGGGGATGGTGGGGCACATTTTTATCTTGCACAGAACCCTGGAAGCTATAGGTGGTCCTGCTCCTGAGACTCACACTTAGAGCCACAAGGACACTGCAGGAGACTGGTGCAAGAACAGATGTTAGAGTTCAAGGGGAGGGACCCGAGAGTTGGGACTGCCAAAGGCAGGGACGCTCGGGGAAGAGACCACAGGAAAATGATTGAAAGTGTTATAAAAACAAAAGAGAAAAGGGAAATGATGGAGTGCAAAGAAGCCCGTAGCAGAGATGAAGATGTATGTGGGAGAAAGCAAGAGCATCAAAGGGAGGCCGGCAATCTCCCTGGATGACAGGGTAATTTATTGACAGGAGACGTTTGCAACAGCCTTGCAAAATGAAACAGCTATGCTGAACCGCAGCTACTTCTCAGGAAGCAGGGACGGGCGTCTGGTGGGGGAGGGCTGTCTTTGGGGATGCCCTGGAGCCAGCAGTCAGCCTGCTTCTCACTCCTGTCCAGGGGCTCTGGGCTCTTTTGGACCGGATGCAACGCATAGGCCCCAGATGCAAACCACTTTCTTGCTCTGCAGAGGCTGACATTTCCATTCATCGTGGGATTTTTTTCCCTGTTATTTTATTTTGTTTTTGAGTACCACTTTGCACATGAGCCATGGTTAAATAACCGTGACCCTCCACGCATCTCGGCTGTCCAAATCCCCTCCGTGGGAGACGTCACCATTACTTGTGTTCCATGTGACCTTAGAATCATGCAAACAAAGGCACAGTACATGAAAACACACCTCAGTATTCTTATATATATGGATTTTTTTAAAAAAAAATAAAAAAGCAGTGATTCTTTATCAAAGAAAAGGGAGGAGGGGCCTTTGTGTCTTTGCCTTTCGGCTTGCTTTTCTCCTGTAACTGCAGATCTTGGAGGTAGCATCGTATCAGTACACAAAGGAGTGTTACATATGCTGTTTTTTGGTACTTTGTAGGCCTTCAGTTTCATTACTTCCCGGAGGTGTATAAAAAAGTTAACTGTACCATAGATGAAGATTGAGAACAGAATGTGAATGTGGTTAGTTTGCCGGTGCCCCTGTGATTTAGCCTTATAGCTGAAAAAAAAAAAAAAGGCTTTATTAAGGCGAGGTAGTGCCTCAGAACTAAATACCTTCCCTTCTGGAAGCTCATGCTCGGCCTACTGGCTTTCTTCTCTTTCACAATGGCTCCTATTAGGCAGAGGGTGCTGTGGAAACCATCTTGATAAGTGCTAAGTACCATGGGACTTTGCATTTGAATGATGCTCAATGGCCTGGCAGTTTGCTAGCTCTGTTTCATGATGATGCCTCAGCCACTACCTGGTTACCACTAAAGAAGGGAGGAGGCTCCCTTCCCTAGCAGCAGCAGAGGAGATGGCTGTTAAAGTACGGCCTCTCGTTGCCAGGCTGAAAATTCAGTATCATACCTTTGCTGGTTCCCTAGCCTGTGGCAAATGAGCTGGGAGGTTTTTTAAATCTCACATAACAGTGGTGTCCTGGATCACAGCAGCGTTTCAGGGGGCTCCGGGTAGGCCACGCCAGGCAGTGCAGAGAGCCACAGCTTCCCCTTCAGGCTGGGGCCTTTGTCTGGACCCTCACCTAGGAATTCTGCCAGACTGGCCAGCTCCTGGGTTCTCTTTGTTGATTTCTAACCTTATCCCCAGGAATGGCCTCAGAAGCTGTGTGGCAAAGTCAGTATGGGGGCCTGACATCTGGAGGATTTTCTTAGACTAAGGGGCAGGGGGTGGGGGGCACATGTACCAATATCTCTACTATATCTTAAAACAACCTGTAACTACGTTAAAAAAAAAAAAAAAACTCTCCCAAGCCTAGGTGTACCTCCATCTCCTGCCCTGGCTACATTTGTGTGCTACTGGCTGCCTTCTCTGCAGACCTTTCTCCCTCCCATCTGCTAATCTGTCTTAGCCTCTCACTCAGAACTAGGGTTCCCTTCATGCTCCCGACACCAAGGTAGATGTCACATCTCCCACGAACTCCTTGGAAGAAGTGGACCCTTCCTTTAGCATTTCTCTCCCAGTGGCTTCCAGGCTCTGTCTTGTCCCTGTTCCTTTCTTGCCAGTCTCCGGTTCCTGCCTCACTCTGTTGGCAAGGGTAGATCTCCTCTCTGGTCCATGCTCAGATGGTGATCTCTTCCATGAGTTGCCATGTGGTCATGCGTCTTTAACACACAGCCTCAGCTTCTCCCCTCCCTCCTTGTGGCCCTGTTCCTTTGGCTCCCCTCTATTCCCACTGGTTGTTGGGATCTTCATCTTCCTGGATGACTTCCAACCAAGTGATCGTTCTGTCTCTACTTCTAATTCTTATCTGTTCTCAACTTCATGTGAAGACCACTTCTTAAACTGCTTTCCGCTGCTTAGAAGACCTCAATAGCCCCCAGAACTTATGCTTAAAAGCCCGAAGGCTCTCAGCACGGCCATTGGCTCCTTCTCCATCAGAGGTGCTACTGGCCACTCCGGTTCTGCCTTCTCATAGCTCAGTTTTGCTCTCAGCTTTTATTAGACGTATGTGTTTTCAGGCTCAGTCTTTGTCTAGGCCCTCTGATTCCCAGCTGTGTGACCCTGAGTACCTCATCCTCTTCTGTGAGCTTCAAGTTTCTCGTCTGTAAATCAAGGACTGCTTAGCCTGATGTTGAAGAAAAACAAAAAACAAAAATGTACAAACGAACAAACAAAAAATAACAGGGCAGTGTGTGCACATTCTTCAAAGGCATAATACCTGACTTGGAATAAATGCTGGCTACGTATCAGCTGTCCTTAGGTTCCCTAACACACTGTCCACGTGTGTCTGCTAACACACTATTGGTCTCAAGGAACTGGGGCAGAGTCCTCTCCTTTCAATTCCGCCTCCAGTCTGTAACACAGAGGTGACTCCCAGGGAGCTGGTTTTGCCTTGGTCAGACTTCCGGAACCGCATTTGTTCTTACCCCTCCCTCCATTCTGAGACCTGTCAGCCACTGTGGCTTCCCCGGCCTCTTATAGCAGCTCCTATAACCCCTGCCTAAGTCACTGGCTGAGTCTGGGCAGGAGATCCCTCCCAGTCGTGCAAAGCATCTTGGGTTGTATTTTGCACATCACCTGTGGCTATACCCGCAGTTCCATGAGCACAGACTTTTAAGGAATTGCAGCCACTATTACTGATGGTTCTACTGCTATTGTTGCCATAGCCACAAGCTTCTCTCCCGGATCCTTTCTTACCTCTAGCCTTGCACTCAGGTATCAGACCAGAGAACACAGCAACCACTGAAAAACTCTAGCAGGCTCTACGGGAATAGAAGGTAGCAGGTACCGGCCACTTCACTCATTCCGTTTCTCTGAGAAATGGCTGGATTATCCAGAAACAGTGTGGACAAAGCCTGCACTCCACCTATAAACCCAACCCGGGGCATCCCTCAGCATCACTGAGGAGTAAAGCCTTAGCCTTTGTCCTAAGAAGCAGCTGCAGACATGTGATCTCATCTCATTAAGAACCAAGGGAGTACTGCTGTGATTGCACGTCAGACCCATCAACTGCGAGGAAGGGAGCTGGCATCAGAAGCTCCGTGCAAAATATTGAAAGGCAGATTAGGAACAGCGGTGTCGATGGAAGGGTCAAGGGTGTAAAAGCAAAGCAGACCCCACAGATGGTGCGAAACTGGGAGGAGTGGTTGAGAGCTGTGCAGAGAGCGAGGCTGGAGGAAAGCAGGGAGAGGGGGGCTGTAGTAACTGGGTGCAGGAAAGCAAGCAGAGCAGGGCCAGTTTCCCCCGTGAACTCCGAGAGAAGAGGAAGAGCCGGCAGGTCGACTCAGGTAAAATCAGGATGAACTGTATGTATGTGCAGCCGTATGCATATTCATGGCCCCGAGTGTGTGTGGGTGTGTGCAGCTATCTCTGGAACAGAAAGAGACGTAGGAGAATAATTCAGCTGCTCTAATTTTTCCCCACTGAAAGGAATCGAGAATTCGCTATTAAGGAGATTTTCATGTCATCTCAGCACAGCGGTGCCAAGAAAATCCCCCAAACGAAAATAAAGACTGGTTTCCAATTCCAGACCACTGGAAAGCAAGGTTTTACATGGCTGTCAGTCATGTCCCAGCTATGTTTAATGCCTGGAGCGAATGACCGGATGTTTACCTATGTGCGCACACAAAGCCCGCTTTCCAAGGCCGCAGTCTGACCTTTTCTAGTGCACATTTCAGAACTGAGCTGTTGGAAAACAACCTCATGATCCTAGTGATTCCCAAATCACTGTAAATTATTTTTTAAATTCTTTTTAAGATTTGTTTACTTATGTGTCTTGGGGGTGGGGTATACATGTGCCGTGTCTGGTGTATGGAGGTCAGAGAAAAACACAAGAGTTGATTCTCTCCTTTCGCTGTGTGGGTCCTGGGGATCGAACTTAGATTGTCAAGCTTGCTGGCAGATGCCTTTGCCTGCTGAGTCATCACATAGTCTTGCTGAAAGCTCTTTTGAAATTCTTATTATTCACCCTTTTCATAGACGGTTACAGAGAGTAACAAAACAAAAAGCCTGTGTTTAATTACACACGTTTACTAGCCACTCCTACACTGTATCAGACATGGTTCTTGATATCTAGGGCATGGGCGTCGATGAGACCTAGCGTGGGTCTGCGAAAGCCGATCTTATTGCTTTATTGCCTCGGAAGCAGCATTTTCAGGTGTGCCCCTCTATCTTACCTGCTGGTTCAAAACCAAACCCACCCTCACAGCATGAGGGTCTGCTGCAGCTAAGGGTGTTCAGAATGAGTTGTCATCTTTAGCAATGAACGATTGTCATGTGGAAAATCCTCACGATGTTTTGGGCAGTGATAAAATATTTGTCCAACTTTCAGGGCATTGCCCTGGGGAAGAGAACTCAGTCGAATAGTGTGTGTGTGTGTGTGTGTGTGTGTGTGTGTGTGTGTGTGTGTCTGTGTGTGTGTGTGTCTGTGTGTGTGTGTGTTTCACTTTATTTTCAGGTTTCACATGAACGTCCAACAGACTGCATCATGTGCACATGTGTGCCCGCCTGCCCTATAGACCTCCCCATTAGTGACACCTAGGCCTAAACACTGACCGGTGGTGACTCGGTCTCCTCCTGATATTTCTCTGCCTCCTTCAGAATCCTAGGGAACCGAGTGGCAGAGCTGGAGAAGAAACTAAGAACTCTGGAGGTTTCCGGTTTGTGGAGTCTCCCAGGTAAGCAGAACCTCTGGACCGTGGTGACTTTTTTCCGGTTTAGGATTTTGTTCACTTTTAAAAGAACAGTCTCACACAATTTGCGAGAAGATTCTGCTTGTTTGAGGCCCTTTGATTTGGAGACTTCTGAGAAACAAGCCACAAATGTTTCAAATCGAGAAGCCATCTGATGGAAGGTCCGTGGAAGGGACAGATTCAGAAATAAACAATAAAATTTCAAAATCTCATTAGTAGGGCACTGGAGTGTAGGTAGCCTAACTCCTCAAACTATTGTGTGTGTGCGTGCGCATGCGAGCACATACACACACTAACCCGTGACAGCCCATGAGTTGTTTTGTTTCTTATCAGTAGTCATCAAGATTTGTTCCATGTAACCTTCCCTCCTAAAAGAAATGGGAGACTACACAAAGATTTGTTCAGTGTAATCACCAGTCCTAAAAAACGAATATCAGATCTTACAGAGATTTGTGCAATTTAATCATCAGCCCTAAAATGGAACGTAAAACCACACAAAGATTTGTTCGGTTTAATCACCAGTCCTAAAAATGAAGCGCCAACAATTTCTCCAACCCAGATGTACTTCACAGCCACCTTCTCCTGCCTCGCCCCCTCCCGTAACTTGAAAACAAAAATTTCCCGAGATTTTTTTCCTCCCCACGTTTGTCCAATGTGTGAGAAGCCGTGGTGATTCTCTCTAATGAGCTATACTTATCCCGTTTATCCCGGTAAAACAGCCCTCTCAGGAGACCCCGTCAGTTCTCCGCCTTGTCTTTACGCTGTTTGGAAACTTATATTTATCACTTTCTGCCGCCTCCTGGTTCCCTGGAAGGAACATTGTCCGGGTATTTTTAGTGCCTTACCCTTTCAGTGCGGAGCGGTCTCTTCCCTCGGCTCCCGTGGGCTGCATCCCTGTACGGATGAGAAATGAAAATTGCCACAGGAGAGGAGGTGGACAGCATCACGTTTTCCTTGGTGGAAATCTGAATAGCTGCCTTAGGTAGCCCGCAAGTGTGCTTCATAAATTGGAATTTTTTTCGCAGAGATTCCTTGAACTGGATGTCAAAAGACCTCACAGAGCTAATTAGTGGCAAGTGCCGTCCTGGGGATTTGAATGGTCCTTTTCCACCTCCCGCTTTTGATGATGTTCAAACCTCATCTTCTGGGAAGGCCTTTCTTTCACTGCATTGAATTTCAACACAGACAGACAAAATTCGTCATTTACTTGTGCAGTCAAATTGCTGTTTTTGTGCATGTACCGAAGCTTTGGTTTTTTTTTCCCCCTCTCTCAGAATGAGTTAGTGAATTTCTCACCACTTCATTTGGGTGATTTATGTAAAAAGATGGAAGCTGAATGGGTGAATCAATGCTGGGAATTTCCGGTGGCTGGTGTTTGTTTGGTCAGGTGGGGCTTCAAATGGCTGTTCTACAATAATGACTGTTTTTTTTTTCCTTCTTTGTGCTGCCGAAGGCCTGAGCTACAATGTTTCAGTTGGATTTGGGAGTATGTTCATTTTGAAATATTTGGGGTTTCTTGTGGCTTAATTGGGAACATAGCCTACCATCCATGTATGTGAATAGCAGAAATTTGCTGTCCACCTTTCTGTGAACTTTCTAGGTAGAATAACTTATTGAAATAGAGAACCCAATTCACACAAAGTAAGCTTTTGTGTACAGTCAGCCGGAAGGACCAGCCTCAGTGGGTTTTACGCTATAGGCACGGGGGTTCTAGTCTCTGGCCACCACACAGATACAAATGAGGGCAAAGGACAGGGAGTGGAACTTTTCCTTTTGGGTATAGTTTTGTCATTTCAACAGCCTTGCTTTGGGGCATGAGGGAAGGGTGTGTGGATGGAGCCTTGTCTTGGGGTGGTTGCTGTCCCGGAGAGAAACAATAGGGAGTGGGGTGACTCCCTGTGTGTATCACAGCTCTCCTCCTCCTGCTTCTATGTCTCCATCTAAAGCTCTCCTCCTCCTGCATCTGTGTGTCTCCATCTAAAGCTCTCCTCCTCCTGCTTCTGTTTCTCCATCTAAATCTCTTCTCCTCCTGCTTCTGTGTGTGTCCATTTAACCTACTGCCGGCCGAGCAAGAAGCAGTGTGTTCTCTCCCCGTCATACCTCCTCTGCCTCCTCCACTTCTTTCTCCTCCTATCCCCAAGCAGCAGCTAAATCCGAGTGGAAGGTGCCGAGTCCCATTGGTTTCAGGGAACTGTCTTGTTTACCAGCATCTTGAGGGGAATGAGCAAAGTCTTCTCCACTTAAACCAGTTCATCCTTGGGCTGGTACCTACTTTGAGCTTCAGCTTTATGAGTACAGCACCAAACATGCCAGGCAACCTGTCCCGCCCCCATGAACCTGTAGTCTGCCTAAGGAAGTAAGATGAATCTCCATCAAGCAGTGGCTGGGAGAACACAGCATTAGGGCTTAGTGCTGATTGAGTGACCAAGGTAGAATCGCTAGGGAGATGATGGGTTGGGTCTTATGCCCTCTCTGAAGAACAGTTAAGAGTAAGAAGATTCAGGATGACAAATACTTGGTGTGTGTTATGCACCCCATTCTCACGCCAGTGACAGACATGGCAAATCTATCACAGCGTTTTTCTTTGCTGATGTGGCAGCCATCTTCCATATTGGCCAACTTTCAGTCAGAGCTGACATATGGAAGAACCCTTTCCCCTTTCCTGAGCGAGTCCGATACACTCATTTTAGAACAGGAAACAGGGAGGGGTTAGATGACACGTAGGTCATAGAAGATGGCATTAGATTTGCTTGTTTCAAGTTTCACCAGCCATCTTTCATGAGTTCTGGATGACCACAGTTCCGAGCCAAGATACACAGGCAAATGGTATTAAGTGGTTACTGGTTTCTGGACCAGAGAGGAGGAATCCAGAAGGCAGGAAAAACCTCTTCTAGTGGGCTGTGGAAAAGAATTCATGAGGCCGAAGGCTTTGTGAGTCTCCTCTTTTCCCATCTTCATTCTCCTGGCCAACACCATCTAGTTTATTTTGTTTTGTTTTATGAGATAGTCTCACGGGGCCCAGTCTGGTCTTGACCTTGCTGAGGTAGCTGTGGATGACCTTGAACTCCAGGTCCTCCTCCTTCTACCTTCCCAACGCTGGCATCACAGGCATTCACTGTCACACTATGCCCATTAATGCCGAGGATTGAATCCAGGAGCAGATGCATGCTAGACAAGCTTGCTACCAATAAGTTATATCCCCCAGCCCCATCATAGGGATCTTGATGGTAGTTTGTAGACTTGGAGCCAATTTGTGACCTTGCTAAAGAGTAAACACATTTGACAAATGTCAGGCTATAGAGAGAAGTCATCTAAATAGATGAGACTATTCCAAGCTGTTTAGCCTGTCCCTTGATAGTGATTAAGCTGGTGGGCTACTTCAAGGAAGCCAGATGGTAAGAGTTGCAGGCCATGGTCCCTAGCCGGGATGGATCCCTTTACTCCCACCCGCTGATATCCTTCCCTCAGGTCTTCTCAGATCTATATTGGTTGCCCTGAGGAGTGCTGACCTGGATGTGTCCACATTCTACAGAGAAATGCCATGTGCTGGAAGCTAGCTGCACAAGCAAGAGGACCCGAGTTTGAGTCCCCAGCACCCACATAATGCCAGGCATTTTAGCACACATCTGTAACCCCAGTGCTCTGGCAGCCAGATGAGGTGGGGAAACTCAGGAGCCAGACAGCCTGGTGCACACAGCAAATGCCAAAATGACCCAGGCTCAAATGAGGTGGAAGGCAAGGGCAATATCCAAGACTGTCCTTTGATTCCCATGTAAGGGCTATGACACATAGGCCTCTCTCTCTCCCTCCCTCCCTCCCTCCACTTCTGTCTCTCCCTCTCTCATATACACACCGACAGGCAGGCAGGCAGGCACGCATGCACGCACACACACACGCACACACACACAGAGGTGTCGGGAGCACAGATACAATCCACAGAAATGCCAAAAGCCCCAAAGCAATCTGGTTAGATGCTATAATCTGGCTTTTTGAGCTTTTAATCTTCATTCTTTCTTCACTTCAGGCATCAGGCTGAGGAAGAAAAAAAAATCTGGGGGTTGAAAGTATTTGGTTCAGTTTTGGAGGCAGGAACGAGAACTTTGGTGCCATATGGACTCTGCAGAGCTTGCAGCCACTTGGGTGCCCGCAGAATGAAAAGCCTATGTGGCCTTCTGCATTAGTGGTCCTTTGACCTAGCATGCAGGATTTCCTCCCAGACACATCCTCTCCTCTAAGTATAAGCCAGATGAAAGCCACCCGACTGCCCATTAGAGCTCAGGTCAATGGCCACAGCTGCCTGCAGACCTTTGAAGGGCAACCGAACCAGGAGCCTTCCAAGAAAGGCTTTGAATTTCCCAAGCATGGCAAGAGGGACCAGACCTTGGTGTGTTGCTAACATGAGAGCACCATCTCCAGGCAAGAGTGTGCAGAGGTGTGTCTTCTTCTCACCTCACCATGCCTGGCATAAGTGAAGGCTGCTTGTTCGCCTTCTCTACATTCCCTTCACTCAGATTTTTGCAGATGTTTCTTGTTTTTTTTTCCCCTGAGGAGCCACTTTAAAATAATGATATCCTAGAGTTTGGGTGGGGGGAGCAAGGGGACATTCCATTCTAAAGAACTCCCCTGAGAGGAACCCCCAAGCTGCCTTGATCACTGGGGTTCCCCCTCTGCTTTAGATTCTTTGGCCACCAAGGCACAGGGTTAAAGACTGGTTTTATACAGAGGGGATGGAGCCCCCCAAGAAAGCTAGGAGGGTAACAGTTCACCTGCTGGAGACAAATGGCCATGAAATGCAGTACTGACCTTGACCTGGAGACGCACTACAGACTGTGTAGAGATGAGGGAAAGGAGTCTACTGTGAAGCTCCTGTCGCCTGTTATGGTTCCTAAAGCCAGTAACCTAGGATCCATGAAGGCATTTCCAGATTGTGCTCTAGAAGAAGTCAGCTGTGGTCTAGAAGAGGTCAGCTGTGGTCTAGAAGAGGTCAGCTGTGGACGTCATTCTGAGGGCTTCCAACATCACCCTGAACCATTAATCCACAGTGCTCTGTGGAAAACCTTTCCAGATGGTAACACAGAAGTTTCTAGATTTATTCCACCAGAGACAGCAGAAGTGCCTGGCAGAACCTCAGGGTCAGCTCCAAGCAGTTTCTCAGCTCACCTGACACTCAGGAGACAGAGAACCCAAAGGCTATGGAACCAATCACTGGCCATTTGCCCACGATGGCAGCAAGCACCAAGCATGCCAACGCCAGGATCCGTGAGACACTTCAGTTGGTAACACGGTCCTTATCAGGACTTTAGTAGGCACCTATTGTGTAGAGAACTCTCTCACACAAGTTAATCATGTTAATAAGACAGTTTTCTAAAGCAGAGGGACCAAGGAACACACTAGTGAAATGTGCTTGCTTTCGTCTGGTTCTCCAAAGGAGGTGTAGACATCTATCTTTACCCAAGTGGCCTTCTGGGCTCTTAAATGGGAGACCAAGTAAAATCATGGAGCGTCAGTGAAAATCTTCTCTAGGCCAGACCGGAGCCCCAGCTAGACTCATAAGCTGGAGCTTTTGTTTGGGCCCAGTGGTTTCCGCCCAGAGAAGCCTTAAGCCTTGCAAGCCAAGACTTGGCATCATAGCAGGCCTCCGTCTCTCGTGACCTCAGAATGGCAACACTGCTTGTTCATGCATCTGGTGCCCGCGTGTCTGTCTGTCATGCTCACGTCTGAAGCTGTTCTCCCTGCTGCTCATCGATGGCCTGCTCTGCCTTCTGCCGTGGGAATGTGGTGCTTTTCCCATGCCCCTCATCCACTTCAAACTTCTCTATCCTCACACTAACTCACGCTACCAGGCAGTAAGCTGAGTGTAGGTTCTAAGTGGGATACAGCTAGGATAATGTGGAGGACTTGATACCACCTGCCTTGTGACAGTTGACGTGACCAGATGCGCTTGGGGCAGATGTCAGGTGTGTGGGAGCCGGTGCCGATAATTTCAGCACACGGTGTTTGCTGAATGCTCCCTAAACAAATGCTCCCTAAACATCCGGCGCCTCTTCCTGACCATTCCATTTTTTCTTCGCAATCATCCATGTTGAGGTTTAGAGAGTGAAGTGAGACCCTTGCTGTCCCCCAGTGAGCAGGTGATTCTGTCCAGAGCACAGCTAATACAGTGTCCCCCCCACCAAGTTCCCTGCTGCTGCCACTGCTGCTGTGGCATTTCTGCACAGCCACACAAACTTCTTCACTGGTAACACCGAGGGCAGCTGGTCCCGAGAAGCTCCTTGGGAGTGAGTCAAGGTCTTCCCTCACGGATGGAGGAGCCGTGCTCCATTCACACGCTAGAGAAGGACCTGCTGACTACGTTACTTGTACTGCCCCCAGCTGAAGGAGTTTCCTAACCCAGTAGCTAGCTCATTGTGTGGGGGTACCTTAGGTTCATTTCTGGTGCTACAATAAACACCCTGATGAAAGAAGCTTAGGCAAGAAAGGCTGCGCTCAGCTTACAACTCCAGACTGCGGGGAAGCCAGGATGGCAAGAACCTGAAGCATCTAACCACACCCCAGTCAAGGTCAGAGAGACTGTGGAGATGCTGATGCTCAGTTCCTTTTCTTTTCTCCAGTCCGAAACACCCTGACTAGGGAATGAATACCGCCCACAGTGGGCTGGTTTTCTTACCTTAGTGTAGGCAAAATAACACCTCAGAGGCCAACCTGATCAAGGCGGCCCCTCATTGAGACTCTTCCCCAGTGATTCTAAAGTACTCTTGCAAGTTGTAAATGTTACTCAGCTAAACCAGTGGCTGGCAAATCAACTTTCCCATCTCCCTCATAGGGGGCAAGGACACCATACTGTTCAGTGACCCGACTCTTCCCGCCGTACAGAGGTCAAGGTCCCCACTGTTGAAGTTTGTGGAACAGCCCTCTGAGAACAAGGAGAGCACCGGGGATGGTAAGTGCCTCTCAGGTCTGCTCTCTCTTCCTGGTCTGTACCCGCTACAGGGCATGTGTCAGGGCCAGCAGTAAGTACCTCACACCGCAGCCACTGTGGGACTCCATGAAGACATCCTCACCCCATACCGAAACATTCTCTCCCTCCCTCCCTCCCTCTCTCTCTCTCTCTCTCTCTCACACACACACACACACACACACACACACACACACACACACACTTCTGTCTGCAGCTACAATCAACTAGTTCTCACTCAGAGCCCACACTTCCCTAGCAGTCTGTGGGCTTCTTGGTATGGCATCACCAACTCTTCCTGCTTCCCCTTGTGTGTGTGTGTGTGTGTGTGTGTGTGGTTACTCATCGACTCCTGTCAGTATCTCTTCCCCATCCACATGTGACCTGTAGCAAAAGTCTTTCTGCAGGGTTTCTTGGACCAGCTTCCCACTTGTGGCTCGGCTCAGTCTGGGCCCTCACTGTGTCCTTGGAGGCTCCTCTCCGGAACTGCCCACCTTCCAACCCATCCCTGCTCAGTTCCCGTCTTCATCCGTCAGCTGTCGGACCAACCCGTGGCGATACCTTCCCATTCCATTTCCACCCTGCTCAGTTTCCAAGTTACCTTTAGCTGTCTTGACTTTAATGCCTCAGCTCCCCAATGTGATTGAGCCCACCCTCCTCCCCTGATGATTGGACGAGCCTTTAACGGGACAGAATGACTAGCTCTATCATTAGCTCGCACTGTGAAACCAGCTGGCTCACAACTTAGAGTTTAGAGCGTTAGTGGGATGATGTAAGACTCATGGGGACAGACAGGTGGTTCTGCCCACCAGAGCTGGGCCAGCAAAGTTCACCCGGCCTCTTCTAACTCTTCAGGCTGCTCACCACAGGGCCAGAGCAGTAATAATAGAAGACATTTCTAGGTTTTCAAAAGAAACATTTTCAGGTACCTCTGGGAGAATCCCTAGATACAGCCTCTTACCTGGTGAATCCACATTGACCAGAAAGCAAAACTGGGTCATTGCAGCCTCCAGCTTGCGCTGCTTGTAATACTGGCCTCCAGCGCACGGGGGCCTTGTATGGTGGCTAGTGGTCATGGCTTGCTGGCAGCCTGTGTCCTCGTGGAGTGCTGGATCCTCTGACTGTTCTGGGTGGCCCCGGGCCTGCCTGCTGCGCTGAAAGGAGCTCTGGCTGTCTTGATCTTCACAAGGGCAGCACAAGTGAGGAACTGATTCGAAATGATAGTTTCCAGAGTCCCTTCATCAGTGCGCATTGTTCCTGCCTGTCCTGAGCCAGCTCTGGGTGGGAACAAGGACACGTTCTCTGAGAGGCTGTCAGTGTCCCAATGGCCTCGTCACTGCTGTGGCCTGATTAATTCCATCTGAAAGCTGCCACATGCAGGAGGACAACAAAGCCCAGCCAGCCAGCCAACAAAAGATGACAAATGTCCCCTTTGGGCCCACGAGCGGGGGACACATTTTTAGGGGACTAACAATCTTTTCTACCACGCCATTTCTTCTTCATCCTTTAGAGAAAAAGAAACAATATTTTTCTTCCCACTCTGTCCTGAAGCATTTGTCTCATCCTTATTGATGTGTGCATTGTGACTAATAAGTATTAATGATATTAATTCTGTTGGTGACAGCAGCCCAGAATAATTACTATTATTTGCAATAATATTTTCCAACTTTGCCTAATTCATAAGTCTTTTATGGAAATGTCAGTGCTGTGAGTCTGTAATTAAAGTAAAAGTAAAGCTTCTCATGGCTGGCTTAAGAGTTATCGCCCCGAGTCTTAGCATTCAAAGAGATTTGGTTCCCATAACAGAGAATCAGAGGTCCTAATGAAGGCGCGGCAGCTGTCACAAGTTTCAGCACTTTTCTGGGTGGATTGGTGATTGGCGTAAGCGTGCTGTTTGGATGCTTTCTAGATAGACTCGAGGGGAAGAGGGTATTGGGAAACCCTGCCGTACCCACAATTTCCAGAACTCATATTCATACTGTTCTGGTGCTGTCCAGCAAAGTACACTGGAGCACACAACAGAACCACAGCTAGTGTCCCTTATCCTTCTCAGGAGTCCACCATCTCCTTCTGGTGTCCATCATCCTCCTTGGGTGTCTGTTATCCCCTTCCTATGACTGCCCTAAGCCTATGGTGATAACAGCTGGACTATGTGCCTCATACCCTGAGCAAAATTTTAAAATAAAAATGTTTCTCTGGTAACCTCAAAGGCTTTTCATTAAAGAAGGAGGGGGGAGAGAAGGAAGAAGAGGAGGAGAAGCCGTGGTGGGGGGAGATAGATGGTGACAAGATTCACACATCTAGACAGGATTGGAATATCATATAAAGAAATAGCGCAAGGCGAAGCACCAGCAACCAAAAGGCCCTGGCATAATTTAGACCAACTTCTCTTAGATGTAAATGAGGGTGGCAAAGGTCTCAGCTGACCCACAGTAAAAACACACCGCCAGTGGTTTAGGGGTGAGGCTGTTCTGAGGAAGGTTAATTAATTTTTCGGGGGCACCAGAATATACTATTAACTGTCTCAGGAGAAGTAATTTCCTGAGAGTCATTTCCAGAAGGAGTTTATTCACCTCACACTGGTGAAAAATGGGGCTGGAGGAAGCACCGTAATTCGCTCGTTTTGAGTAACTCTCCCCCACCCTGCTGGGAGCGGGATCCGTTTTGACTCAGTGTTTCTCATGTCCGTCATAGCCACTGGAAGGGTTTTCATTTGTTAGTTTGAAATTGATGTAATTGCTTCCCTGAGCTGCCTTGGATGTAACTAAATATTTGTCGGAGTTAGGCATCTCTATCTCTTTTGAGAAAGAACCTCTTCGAGAAGTTTTAGGGTAGTTACCTGAATCTACCCTAAAATGAATACTATAAATTTAAGTTGCTTTCATAAAGTGATGCATGGTGTTTAGGATGTATGCTAATAGATTCCCTTTTTCATGAATGCATGTATTAGTCCATATATCCAAGCACTTAGTAAGATATTTATTGAGTCTCTGCCGTAGAACACTGGCGAAGTTAAAAAATTAATCAGGCAAGACTTTGTACTTAAGGTAGTTAGTTATAAGTAACAACTTGAGGTGGGGGAAAAAAGCCTCTAAGTTTTAGGAGGTCTAGACCGCCTCGTGCGAAGCCTGTCACTGGGAATAGGGCTTGTGGCCAGATTTAATCTTCATGGGGGAGGTGGGGGCTGGGCTGTCCCCCAGAGGCTCCCTTTGGAACAGAGAAGGGAATGAGAGCTCCAGGGAGAAGGGAAACGAGTAAAGTCCCTGGGGAAGATGCAGTACCGAAAGGGACTGATGTGTCTGGATGGAGGGGTAGAAGGAGAGGAGCTGTCAGATACAAGGAGAAGTGGGGTATTACATCATAAATGAATAAACACTAGGTTGCAAACTTGGGCTGTGCTGCCCAGACTCGGTCACCTTCAGAGGTTTTCCACGTGGAGGAAGACAGGGGAGGTCTGTATGTCACTCTAATGGGAAGCACCATCACCTGAGGCCTTGTGAAAGCATGCATGCTGAGGGGTGGAGCCGGAGATCCTGTAGCACTAACAAGCTCCCAGGTGCAAGTCCCTAGACCCAGTCAGAATGGCAAAGCTGTGGGGAGGCCCCTGGCCTGGCAGTGGGGATTAAAGCGTGACCCTGTTAGGGACTGCACACACTGTCATCTTGGCTGAACAGATCGCAACAGGCAATTTTTCCCCCTCAATTCAAGGCTTGCTTTTCTCATATATGTGTTCATGCATTTCATTGTAAGGACAAGCGCTGGGCTCATTTTCCAGGATAAGACTGTGAGGAAGAATAACACAAGGTGTCCATGACTGAATACAGACTTGAAAATGAGGGGGAAAAAATTGGTCAAGAACCTGTCCCTGGGATTCCTCTGTGGTATCCAAAAGGCTGACAAAAGTGAAATGACTCCTTTTAATGTGAAAAATCAAATTCGGATCAGGAGAAGTAGGTGGAAGAGGTTTGGGGACAAGAGGCAGTGGTCGCCTTGCTCAGGTGAAGCCCATGTCTCTCCCAGTGGCTCTAGTGTGTTTGCCACCGCAGCATCATTTCCTCTGTGTGAGCCAGCCTCTTCTCTTTGGTGGTATCACCGAAACCTTGTAGAAAACCTGATTCAGTTTTTTCTGGGGTTCTTCAGTTCTGTTATAACCAGAGATCAAACATTTTAAAAAATATTTTAGCTGACACGTAATGGCTGCACTTAGTTATGACTTACTAGATGCCATGTGACATGTCACACGTGGACATAGTGCATAAAGACCAAATCAGAGCAGTTGGTATAATCACCACCTCAGACACTCGCCATGCTTTAGGTATTAGAGACATTCAAAAGCCTCTCTATCAATTGTTTTGAAATCTACAAATAGATTCTGTCAACCTTACAGTTATTTCAAAGTTTCTTAAACCTTTAAATGCATACTAGGTAACTAAATGTACCCCCAAATGAGTATTTATTTAATCAAATAGATATGTTCAAAACCCTTATCCCTTTCCATTCATATTCATCAGTACGTTTCATGCATTTTGTTAAAATGGATCATAGATGGAATAAATTACCACATGTTGTGGAAATTCTGCATTTTTAACTCAGCCTTTTCAGATTATACCCACTTTTCAGGTTAGAGTTCACCTGACATATCCAACTGCATAGGTTTGTACTTTAAAATACGTAACATGTCTAACTTACATAAGGAATCCTCTCGACACCTGTCACCTGTCTGAAACCCAGGGCTGGGTGCCCTTGTTTCCTGGGTCACTTACCTGTTGGTTGCGATGCAAGGGACCCCTCTCCCTGAACCTAGAGGACACAGACCGGAGAGGCGGGTGCAGAGCTTTAGACAGCCAGGCCGTGACCGAGGCCGTGGAAGGACAAGCGTGAGAGCTGCCGCATGCATTTCCCTGAGTCTCGGTCAAACGGGTTTGCAGAACCGAGCCAAGTGGTTGGCTGCATTGTGTAGTGAGTATAGTTTTGAAGGCTGGGAGGATCAAAGTGTTGGTACACTCTGTGTCTGGTCAGGGCTCTCTTCCCTCTTGGCTGTGTGCTCACACACTGGAGAAAGAGAAGGCTCAGATCGTCTCTTCCTAGGGGGGTACTGAATCTGTGGTAAGTGACCCATATCCATGATGCACCTCAACCTCTCCCAAAGTCTCACCTCCAAATGCCCCTTTCTGAACTGGGGGTCTGGAAGGGGGTTTCAACCCTTGGAGAGACACATCTGCAGTGCTGAAGGACAAAGCTGGGAATTTTCATTTCACAAATGGTGAAAAAGATGAGGAGGGATACTCTTGTGGCCTTTGAAGTCTGAAGTCCATGTGACATGCAGCAGTACTGAGAAAGCTAATGCGAGGAGACTTGTGGAGGGGGGGGGAGTGAGCCATTTCTAGAATGTAACAGCAGATTCTCCAGGGAGGTGGTAGGGGTGGGGTGGGAGTAGTTACAACTGGACACTAGACGCATGAGTCTATATATGCTATGAGAAACATGATGAGCAGGCCTAAGGGATATCATCGTGGACAGGAGATCAATTGCCAGTAGCTGAATGGGATGAAGGACAAGGAAACAGGACAGATATACAGGAAGGTATCCTCGGGGAGCCAGGAGTAGACAACAGGTCAACAAAGGAAACGAGGAGAGTCTATGTATGGAGAGGACTGAATGATGTTCCCGGGGGATCCCAGTGGACCCATTCAGCCTTACCTCCCGTGGTGAAAACACTTTGCAGATGGGACTCATCTATGGCAGTGAGGTGAGAAGATGATCCTGGGTTGGACAGCTAAGTGGATCACTCTACAAGATAGAGGCAAGAGAGAAGCATGGCCCATATCGATAGGCCGGGTGATGTGGCTGTGGAGACAGGCACTGGAAGAATTCTGCCACCAACCAAGAAGCCACCAAAATCTGGGGAAAGTGGGAAATGGGGTGTGCCCTAGAGTCACCCAGAGACTGTGCTCCTGCTCTGCCCAGGGAGACCGACCAAGGTGTTAAAAAATTGGTGGGTGTGTTTTAAAGTCACCAAGTCGGTGGTCATTTGCTACAAGTCACAACACAAGACAGTAATCTCTGTGCACCCAGAAGTGGACTGGAAACAGAAGGGAAAAACCAGCTATTCCAGAAACCACCGACAGAGCCAGCTAGGGAGGAGGCTGTGGCTGGTAGAGACTAGATGGAGAAGGTAGGATCTGAGCGCTACAGACCTCACAAGGGAGGGGCTGGAGACAGGCCCAGGACATTAATCAACACTGGGACAGGGAAGCAGTGGAACTGGGATTTGATGAAGTGGGGCCTCAGCAAGGTCATCAGGGGCTTGGATGCAGCCTTGAAGAGGCTAGCGGGACCAAGCCTCCTTATTCTTTTTTCTTTTCCTTTCTGGTCTCGGGTGAGCTTGTTGGTTTCACCCTTATGCCTTCTACCACCATATGCTGCCTGGCACAAAGCAACAGACAGCTTATTATGGGCTAGTGCTCCTAAAACTGTGAATCAAAATCGAAGGGCTAGGGATGTGGCTCAGTAGTAGAGTGAGTGCCTAGCTTGTGCAGGGCCCTAGGTTCAATCCCCACTAACACCTTCACCCCAACACATGCAATGCCTCTTTCTTTATGTAAGTTGATTATCTCGTGTTTGTTACAATAATGGCAGGCCTCTCCAGTTTTCCCCACATATGTTATATTTCTGCTCAAAAATAAAAGCTGAATTCTGTGTTTAAAATATTCTTGAATGTTCAGATGATGTCCAACACTGTTGACAACTCAGTGGAGGCCCCCTATCTCATGGATCAAAGTTTGACAAGACGATAAACCATGTCATGTGTGTAGAGCAACTCCTAGCGGAAAGGGGCAGCGGACTGGCTTCTAGCCGGTCAGCACTCTAGAGCTGGAGGAAATGGAATGGTTTCTACAGAGACCTAAGGGGTCTTGTGTTAGGCAGGGCTTCCTAGAGGAGCTTAACCAAGATAAAGTTCATATATAAACAACAAAGGGATTATTGGATAGGTTTTACTACAGACTATAAGGACTGGTAGTCCAACAGCAGACAGGCAGGGGACCAGGATCTCGGTGTAGAAAGCAGGATGCCTCGGTAGTCCCAGCCTGGAGCTGAAATGCTTGGAAAATTCTAGAGAGCTGCTAGTATTGATTTAATGCTGGGAAGCCTGCTCTTAGCTGATGTAAGGTGCATTCCCACCATGCTGCCTTCCTCGGATCTGTTTATTATTCAGGCTGCCAGCTGGAAGGTGTCTCCTCCATTCCAATCAGGTCTTTCCAGTCAGTATCCCATGCACCAATCCTCTCTGAAAAGCCCCCCCCCCAACTCACAGGTATATCTCCAAAGTCCTAAATATCCCTTCAGACAGACAGACAAAGTGACAATAAACCTATCATAGGTATGTTATGTGACTGGAAAGATACACGTGTGTGAGCCAACCTTGGAAACTGAGTCAGCGGGTCATTAGGAGCTGACCAGTCGGACCTTGCAAAGAAAGTGAACGGTGTCAGAACTAACCCAGAAGCAGCAAGGCTCCCTCAAAAGGTATAACGTGAGAAAATGGAAGGGCTATGTGTTCGGCTTCCTGCCAATCTTCCACAGTCTAGCTCCACCCACCAGCTGTCAGCCCAAGAACATTCTTGTACTTGTCTAACAGTGGGCCTGACTATACATAGTGTCTGTTGTTCTACTACGGTTCCAGTCAGGAGTACCCGGAAGCATTCCTGGGGCCTTCATTCTTGCACCAAGGTCTATGCTCACGCTAGACTCAAACAGCTTTGCACCTTCCCTCTCCTTCAGCACTGCTGTTCCTGAGGTCCCAGGACACACTGGCTGATGGGAAACTCACAGCATAGTACCAAATGCATATGTCTTGGTACTAAGGGCTGTTTGCTCTTCCCTGGCCACATGCTGCCACCTCATTTATTAGGCCAGGGAGGGACATTAGTGTCCTCCCTTTTGCTCATCTGAGAAACTGAGGCCAGACAAGTTGTGACCACACAGCAAGTGAGGAGAGAAATGGGGACAAGGAGACAGCACCTCGTGCTCATCCCTGTCTTCTGCCTCCTGCTTGCTGCACCTCTAGAATTCCTGGTGGATTGGGGTGTTTAAGGCCGAGAGTCTGGTGCCAAGGGAGGGAGCTAGAAGCTGTTTGCACATAGTCTTTATCTAAAGCTGGGCAAACATGGTGTATTCCCCTCAGACAGTGAGGTGCCGATGGAGAAGGAGGGGATGGCACTAAATATCCCCAAGCTGTCCTGCTCCGAAGGCAGCTGGGATCTCTGCTTGTCACTAGCAGACCCAGGTATTTCCTCAGCTTCCAAAGGACAGCCTTTGTCCTCAGACTTCGTCTTCCACGGACATAGGAGGTCCCTTGGCAATAAGGCAGAGGTTTGAGGAAGGTGCTTGCTTGGCTTCTGAACATGAGTCCTTCATCCACCTGGGCTCCAGTGACCTGCCTGGAAGAGGAACGAGGAAAGAACTATCGGTTCTTCAAGGTCACGGCAGGTAGCTGGGCAGGAGTTGACAAGAGAGGAAGGTGAGGCCAAGCTGCTGCCAGAGAATTGATGCTGTCCCTTGTCTGTTTTCAGGGGAGACTCAGAAGCAGGAGCGAGATGAAGGCTGCGCAGCTGCTGAGGTGTTGACAGTGCCCGAGGATGCCGGGAAGCCGGCTGTCAGCTCCCCAACACAGCCGAGCAGCAAGGACCAATGCTCACGCTTTCCGCATCCTCCGTTACCCCAGCCACCTTCAGAGGACGTAACCACGGTGGGAAAGGGGATCACTCAACTGACTGATGGCCAGGAGGCTGCAGACCTGGAGGAGGTCACAAGGGACCTCACAGAGGAGCAGAGGTGCGCCCCGGGCTCATCTCTTCCTAGCCTGACCTCCCAGGGAAAGGGTACCACAGCTCTTCAGGACCACCTGCCTTCTATGCAGCCAGAGGCCAAAGCAGCCGGTGTGGAAGGTGACAGAGGGGTCTCAGAGGGCAGAGACCCAAGAAGCGCTGTGCAAACATGAGGGAAAGAGAGACTGATGGGGTGACATAGTGAGGACACCAGGGACAGCGAGGGACGCTTGAAGCCTCAGAACAGGCATCCAACCACTTTCCGCTAAAACACCTTCCTGTCTGCAAATGAGAAAATGCTGTGATGCTGCTACAAGCTGGGAGCGCCCGGTGGTGCCAGCTCTGTCTGATTTATTAAATGCTGGTCTGTGAGCTTCTCGGTGTCACCTCTGTCTGCTGAAGACGTGCCGCTGTGAACATGGCCGGGCACAGGAATCGTAGTTGCCATATGGCTGCCTTTCGACATCCCTCTCCCTGTCAGCATTTGTCTTATTAGAGAGAAGATGTTTTTCTATTAGCATTTAATGTTGTCCGTCAAAATTATGGGACAAGCTGGGAAAGGAAGGGTTTTTTGGTTTTTTTTTCCCCCCTGGGTCTCAGTCTTGGGACTAACTGGGTAGCTAGAAATAAAGATGTAATTGAATGAAGTGTATTCATGGGGCCATGGCTGCACTTTGTCACGTAGCAATCTCTAGGGATCCCCCAGAAATGGGTGTTCTTGGCACCCCGTGTTTTATGGTGGGAGGTGGGAGGGACCAGAGCAGGCTGGGAAAGATGGGTTGCAGGTTGGAGAGGCTGTTTGCTGACTGAGCGCAGAGTTGAGTGTTCTAGCCGAGGTCTGGAGCTTTCCCTGGCCTGGAGGGATGGGTAACAAGACACTACCAGGAGTAGGGGACTTTATAGTGGTATTCTGATCATTGTTGTTGTTGTTGTTACTTAGATATTAGAAACACTAGCTGTCTTGATCCAGCACAACCTGCATAGGATGATGTGGATCTTAGGGATGTGGGGAACGCTCGTTGCTTAGCATCATTCCATCTTCCATACCATTTGAAACTCTGAACCACTCACTCCGTCAGCAGAACGTTGCATCTGGGCCTCCAGGAACTTGAGTTTTAAACACAGGACTCTGAACTTGTGGTCTAGTAGGGAAGGAGGGAAGATGAGTTCATTCCAGCCTTGACCACAAGGGAAACTATACACCAAGTGTAAGGTTCAAGGGGAGAGGAGGGAGTCGCCCATGCTGCCTGCTGCTTCCTCGCAGGGAGCTACAGAAATTCACATTGAGCCCCAGACTTCCCTTTGAGCTGAGCTCAGCTCATCGCCTCAGGAATGTGGGGTGGCTGAGATCCCCAAACTCAAAATGCCTCTGAGAGCCAGAATGAAGTGGATCTCGGAAACTCCAGCTAAAAAGGGAAGCTCAGAGATGGCATATGTTCCCGTTTATCCTAAAATCTGTCTGTGTCCTGGTACTCCTGGGCACACCTTCAGACAGGGCCCCAATGTTCTGTTTATCCCTTTGTCCCCTTCCCATG